AAATACTCTCTAGAAGGAAGGAGATTGCTAAGAGCCACTCGCATTCGAGTGTAACGTAGCGTTGAGAACGCTGTCACTCTTGTCATGCACATTTGGAGTTCCTTTTAGCGGGACCATACAAGAGTATTAAATTAACTGGAACGGTTACCTTCAGGAGTTGCTTCAGGACCAGTACAGAAACCCCGGTTTGACCCAGAATAAAGGCCAGCAAGGGATTCCATGGGAGTCCACGGAGGAGACATTTCTCGAGCCTGGTGGCCGCTGCATCTCTGATGTGCAGCTGCATCTCTGATCATGGAAGAAGGAATCCAATCAACCTCTTCGAGGCCTTTTCGTTTGCCGATGCGATCTCGGTGCCGCAGCGTTCGTGGAAGAAATGGGAAGGTTCGAATACTCGTCAGGCTCGAGAAAACTTTCGTACTTCGTGGGGCTTATAGGGTGGAAATTTGAAACTCCTGCCGCGTTATCTTACCCGAGAGACTCTCGGGCAGGGAAGTGGTCATTTCCTTCCTTTTTGAGAAAATAGCTATTTTTCTCTAAATTTAAATGAATGTTTGAGACGTGCGTATGCTTCGGAGCATGCAAACAAATAAGTTACTTTCCCATCGCCTAATCGCATGTCGAAAGCTCTGGAGGGATCGGTGATTGAAATCTCGGAATGCATCACCGATTCATCAATCTGCGGCGCAAGCTCATCGATCGCCCGAGCACGACGGGGAAGATGCACTGCCACTTATGTCATATTTCATAAAGCCGCTGTGTCGGAGGTTTCTGCGATGATAATTCATTCGCTTTCTCCCAGGGTATCGCAAGAGAAGGATTTCCATCCATCTCTCTCCAACTGTCATCTCGTGCAAGTCCCCCCCCCCCCTTCCTCCCCCTTCCTCCCCCTCCACCCCCCCCCCCCTGCCCCTCATTGAAACTCGGATGGCTCTTCATCGCCTCGTTATGGCGGGTCTCGGGGACCTCAAGGTCGTGTCGGTCGTATCGAGTCGCGACGACGACGCGATTCCAGATGAAAAATTCTCAGATTTTTCGAGGCCACGAAAAACTCGCGGATTTCGAGGCCGCATCGCCATTTCGAGTCTCGGAAGGGGGGCTGGAAGATTGATGAAGTGAGCGTTTTTACGAGCTGCCATTATGGGATGTTATCCCTCGTACCGGAGTTTAGCAGGAAAGCACGGACCGGATTGTACTATCCCGTGCGAGGGATCGTTTGGGAAAACCGTGGCATTAGTTCTGAGTGCTATGAGCAAACAAGACTCTGTTAATGGGAGTTATCTCTTTGCATTCCTTCTCTCGAGGCTCTCTGGAATCATCCCCGGGCCAGAGTGCGAACTTCGGTTGGAAATCCGGCAAAAAAAATAATCTGCAGCACTACGCAAACACTCATCTGTCCTCCTTTGAGCTAATTATTAGACGAAGTTTTCCCTGTCCATCAGTATGAAAAAAAGTATTGATTCACGACGCAGGTTTTTTTTTGGAATCCATTCGAAATTCCTCCGTGGGAGCTCTTAGTATTTATGGACTGTTTGCACAGGTTTCAATCGGAGATGGAATTACCCGCGGCAAAAGGTCTTCTTGTTTATTTCCATGTATCGATCGGTTTGAGCGAATCATCATTTGCGCAAGTTCGAATATCAGACATAGCTGGAATGCATCATATGCGTTGAAGATTCGCTCAGTTGCGCCAATGTGAAGGTGTGAGGGGCGCTAATTTAGCTCGAATAATTTTTTAATTGACGCTCGTTTACTTTCAAAAGTTGCACTTTTTTTTAGCCTCGTTTTCCATCTCACCTTCGTCTTGAGCTCGAGATCCGCGGTGATATTTCCGTTTGAAGAACAAAAAATATACGGTTTGGGGTCAGGCCTCATGAATTGAGGACGGCGTGGCCAAACATAATTTTCATGTCATGTCATATTCATTCACCTATTCATGAATCACGTTGATGGAGTGGTGCTGTATATGCGCTGGCCATGTGGAAAATGACGACTCGCTTCGGCTTTTTTCGGCTTCTCCTTGCCCAGCTTCCAAGCTCAATTCTTCAATCTTGCCCATCGTGATTTTTATCTTAACGACATCTTTTTTTATTTATTTAAAGACCATCGAAGGGAAAAGTTGGAGCGAAGCACCATTTTTCCCCACGGGCAGTGAAAACTCCATCAACGTGATTCATGAAGTTTCGCCGCACCATCTCAATTCGTCAGACTTGGCATCCAACGACTTATTTTTTGTCCCCCCAAATGGAAGAATCACCTTCGCGGAACTCCCTTTCGAGACAAAGAGGACCCGACTTTTAGGAAATGACTCCAGAAGCAACCGAAAGAAATCTCCTAGAGGAGATGAAAAGACGGGAAAGGCCGAAAGAGGGACGTGAAGAGCCAATCCGTGCGAAATAAAGTTGGCTTCATCTGAAAAAAAAAAAATTATTTTCGCATTTTTTAACTCAATTGAAGAAGAATCTACGATCTCTATTGGAGTTCCTCGAATCCACGATTGAGGGCTTTTCCTAGCAGGGTAGTCGATCGTCTGCTCGGCCCAAAGCAAACGCGATCTCCTGGCAAACAAAGCTGAGCAATCGCAATCCGGTAGAGCCCCCCCATTCAATCGCTCCAATCTCTTCAATTCAATCGCTTCAATCGCTTCAATTCAATCGCCACCGGGAACAAGAAGAGAATGCGGCGAGGGAGTCGGTAGATAGGAGAGGGCGGCTTGAAAAGGTTTTGAGTTATGGTACTTCGCGAGGTCGAATACCGGCCCTGTCTTGTGCAGCCTTTCTCTATTTCCACAATGGATCCGTCCCCCTTCGAAGGCTGAAGAGGCATTCGACTCCGGACATGCATCAAATACAAAAGCCTTTCCAGACCCACCCACCCAGACAGAGTCGCTAGCGTTAAGCCATAGCATTCGCCCAGAAGCAGCTTGGAGGGGGAAGAAGACATCAATCCATTAAAGCGGTTGTCGCTGCCGACTTCGCTCGAATCAACTTCTCGACTCTCGTTCTCAAAATTTGAGGTAATCACGATTTAGCCGTGCAATTTCCTGTTAGCTTTCGCAAACTCGTTTCAAATGAGTGTCGACTCCCCTCAATTGTAGTCGTAGCCGTCATTCATCCGGCATCCCTGCAGCAGAGGAGTGTCGATCCACGTCCCGTGTGTCGCCGCGGAAGTCGCGGAAGCGAACGATAGAGTCTGACGGTCGGCTCCTTGCTCTGCCGCAAAACAAAAAAAAACATGGATCAGATGCACGCTCTACGGATTTGGCACACGTCACGCGATGTAGAACTCGTTCGACTGATTCCACTTGAATGCATTCAAGATTTTGCCAGTTGGATCTGCGCGCTTTTTTGCCTCTCCGGTGATTCCGCAGTCGGGTATAGTAATTTAAATCAGTACGACTCTTTTACCGTAAAAAATAACGAAGAAATGATCCGTTCTTGGCCCGAAATGGCGGCTGCAAAAAAAAAGAGATTCTTAGTTAATGTGCTCATATCGTCGGTAACTCTCCAACTCCTTCACAGTAACACCGGGATTCCCTCCAAGAGATAACGAGGGCTACGGAACGGCGCGAGACTCCATAGAAGAAGAGAGAGAAAAAAGGGAAGATCCTCATGATGTCAGTAGTGCTTGCCATTACGATAAGGCCAGGGTCATAAATCTGGGAAGGCGGTCATCACGAGAGGGAGCCAGGGTCCGTTTCGGGGTACAAAGACCTGCAGGTTGTGCGATCGGAGTCATCAATATTTCACCGGGGTCTCGTCGTCTAATTAGCCTTTTTTCTGTGTTTCCATGACTGTGCTGCGTGCTCGGTAAGAAGCTGCGTTTCTTTAAAGGGCATGGTTGCTCGGGAGCAATCTCACGAGTGGGTCCCTCTCCATGCATTTTTTAAATTATTATTTACTTTTGTGGTTGGCTTGCTGCATGTTGATGCAACCTGCTTTGATTTATTTTCATGAGAGACGCCGTGAACTGAGCGCGTTCACGTTCCATTGTGTAATGGACTGTGGATCCGTGAGATCGATCTGGTGCTTCCCACCTAGAGCCATAATTTGTGTGCACTTTCTCGATTGCGGAGCACTCGAGTATGATATGCATCTCTCGCTTCATCGCTCCAGCTGATGATGGAAATATAAGGATTCGTAATAGTATGGCACGAAATGATGCAAAGAGGCGGATTGGCTTCGGGAGTGACCGATATTTTCTTGGCCTGGTCGTGTTCGGGTGGTTTGTCGGCAATAATTTCATCAGGGTTGCTCGATGCAAGAGGCCGTCCAGTGACCTTTAACCCGTGTTAAAGGTCACTGGGTGCTAGGTCGGGTGATCGAGGAGGCTGGGGAAGCAATTCCTCGTAGCCTCATCAAGGGGGGTGGGAAAACCTGTGAGGCTTTGTGAGCTGGCGCAATGTCGTGCAAAATGCAGAAAAAAACCTTTTTTCTCTCGGACTTCTTCGGCGCTCGTTCTTGACACTTCCACGTATTCTACCCAGTGATACAGCGCAGCGCCGTCCCGTGATCGAACTGTCAAGGGGCAAAGGGGCACGTGGGCGATGTGAGTGACACCAAGAGCGTTCCGGGAGATCGACGCCATCGCTTTGCCAGGCGGAGCCCGAGTCCGAAAAGACGACAAAATAACGAAGAGGTGCTCGTGCATGGGAACGGCTTCGAAGTTTGCAGAGTTGCAGCGCGTGGGCGGCGCTACCAGTCGACACTGTATTCGAAAAACCGATGATCTAAGGCAGCCGGGCCGAGAACTTATCGGGCACCCCTCGTAAATCACTCCGTGGAAGAAAAAATTATCTGGAATCGTACTAAGTAAGCCATCGAAAGGGAGTCACTGCGCTGGAGGAAGAAAAGTTGAATAGGTCGAGAGGGCGTTTACCTCCCCCGAGGATATCCTCGTTCCCAACAAATTGGCCTCCCCCTTTCGCTGCCACTCCTATGGGACGATTTGTCAGAGGGGCGCTCCACTTCGACGCGGCGATCAGGACTTTATGAGAATGGATGGCGCTCACCCGATTTACCTTGAAGGCCTGGGGTGTCGACTGGGTCCTGGGAGGTTTCTCTGTGTTCGCGACGGTTTCTCGGACTTCGGGATTCTTGCGGATCCGTCGGTGGAGCGCTCGTCTCGTCGCGACCGAGATGGTCGATGAATGCATGCCCACGCACACGTTCGAGGTGATTCCGGTGGAAGCGATTGAATTCCTCGATCCTTGCCTGCTCTTGCGCTTTTTGGATCATCCGAGGAAGAAGCGGAACGGCTTGTTCGTGCGGGTTCTCGGGGGGAAAAATCCATTCCTCATTCGAGGGAAGGAATCTCTCACATCTCCTTTCCTCCTCATGCAGATTACAAATCTCGGATCGTGGTAGTGAGTGTGATATGGGACGAAGTGATGATGGGATCCATGTCATGTGTTATGATGACATGCCACGCATCCCTGGTGATTCTTATCATCTTGACAGCGAACTTTTTCTCCCTCCCTTCGGCTTCCACCTTCATGCCGCCAGTTCCCGTCGGCATCCCAAGTGAGTTTCCTCCTCCATATTGCCTCGTTTCGGACTGCTTTTTTTTGCGACGGAAATTTTTTTTGCGACAGTTTCTGCTTTCAGAGATAGAGACTTGACTTGACGATGCTGCCAGCAGCTACTCCGGAATTCGTGAGGAAATTGTCGCGAAGGGCAGAAGCTTTTGATGGCTCGATAATTTATGGATCCTTCGACGGATTTCCATCGGAGGGGAAAAGATAACTGACGTAAACGAAAATGGGCGTGGAAATGCCGAACCGGGAAACGTCGCGTGAATGTAAATGCAGGGATGAATGGCTTTTCTTTTTTTTATTCTTTTTTTATCATCATCTAAGGCTCATCTAATGGCGTGGATCGATACGAAGCAATTTGTTATGGGCGAGCTGTCAGGGCATTAATCCGTCATGAAGACTCCGACGTATTATATATAATATGCCAGATGTTTTCGGGGATCCGTCCCGGCCCAGGCCGGAATGCGAATGAGAGGAAGAAATCCCTCACGACGATGTTATCGTGATATCCCCATGATACCGTAATGACGCGGGAGATTCCCCGGCCTTCCCGCTCCCGATGCCAACTGAGGTCTGCTGGAAGTTGATAATTGAATCTGCTCTTTATCAATTGAAAAAAGGGGAAGAGGGAAAGAAGGAATGTGCGGGGGGGAAAGAGAGAATGAAAGGAGCTGAAAAGGAACAAGGCCGCCATTACGAGGAAAGAGGTTTGTTCCCATCGACTTCCCATTTATATTTCCTCTCTTCTGCTTCCTTTCCTTCCCCTTCTATCTTCTAACTAGACCCGCTTCCAAGTTCCGTGGAATGCAAATGAGTCTTCGACTGAATTCATTGAAGGGGAGGGGGGGAATGCTCCCCGGGGGCTTTCGCCGGACGTGTCGTAAATGGGGGGGGGGGGCGGGGGAGGGGGGCAGATTGTGATGCATCTCGAAGGGAACCCGACACGGGGAAGGGAAGATTCGGATTAATAGGTGTCGTATGGGGCCCGGGAGAGCCGCGTCGGTGTCCCTCCCAGGGAATTGGATTCCAGCCTTTGTGGCACCGCGGGGGGTGCGAGGATCGCGTCGCATTCGTGAGTTGCGCGGCTGGGAGGTATTAAAGCAAGTCCGGATGGGGGGGATCGGAGCGACTAGGTAACTGGTAGTGCATGCGACTTGGAATTTATTTTTTTCTGTCACGCATCGAGTCGATAATGAGAGCATGAGTTGCCTCGCTACCACTCCATCGAGAAGTTTTGTCCCTGAATGCAGCCCATTCGTCAAATGAATCGAGCGAGAGACTACTTTAAGGCTTTGTGTGTCGCATTGGACCCAAAGGAGCTCAGGCTTCGTACCATTCCCCCCAAGCAGTTCCATCATATATTATTTGATTGCTCTACTTACATTTCCCCTTGTTCTTTTGCAGCCGAGGTGGTTCCAGAATGGGTGGTCTCGGGATCGCAGGCGAAAATTCCGTGCAATCTGACCAGGGCGGATTCCCCACTCCTCGTCCTCTGGTATCGGCGACAGGCTCTGCAACCCATCTACAGGTATCAATCACGCTCGTCGTGCATCATGCATTCATTCGAATGTCGTGGACCGCGTTCTGTTGACTCAGTCGTCGCTGAATATCTTCGAGAAGTTAGCCAGCCCTTAATCGGATATCCCTTTGGGACCGGAAATTTAGCCTTTCTCATCGGATTGCGCCGTCTCTCATCCCGCAAGGAGATTATCGGTCATATCGTGATTAGTCCTCCCCGATCCGCATCGTGCACCCCCGTCGGCCGCGGGGAGCGGTTAACGATCTTCGATTCGAGTGGGTGGTACGAGTCCGGATGAACTCCGGATGAAGCCCGGATGAAGTTGTCTCTTTCTCCTCCCCCGTTTGTTTGTTCAGGATCCACTGGAAAAGAGTTATTGAGGACGTGTCCACGCCTCGACCGGGCAATCTGAGGACGATAGCAAATAAAATTCCCCGGGACCAGATCTCAATTTCTCGGGACGAGTCCGGAATCCGTGAGCAGGCACCGACGTAGAATCCGTGAGTAGGCACCAACGTAGAATCCGTTTCGGCGAAGAAAGAGTGAGAAATCCCCGGATCCCTCCGACGTCTCTCTGCGCCAACCGGCATCGGGTCGGCGCGATCAATCCGTGCCCGCTCTTTCCCTGTATTAAGAAATCTCTTTTACGGCAGACTTCCGATTTTCTCTCCCCCTTTCGCACCTGAGTATCTCTGACGTTAACGAAAGAGGGGGGAAAACGTCGATGGGAGGAAAGAAAGAAACTAGAGCGAATGGGAAGGCCCCCTCTGGTCCCCGGTAATAGGGACTCGGGATCAAGTGCCTATACAAGTATCGATCTCTTAGGCCGTAGACAAACACCGGCTTGGATGCGTTCCGACGACAACCTCTCCATCATCCTCTTCATCTCTTTCTATCGTATAAGGAGCTCCAGCTATAGAGGCACTACGACCCTCGATGACCAAGGTCTTCGTTCTCGAGAGCCTTTGGTTCGCATTCTTCTGCTTTTATCGGATGAAACGAGCTAATATGGTGGGTTGTGACCTCCGGATTGGAGGATTTTAAGTCCCTCGAGTCGTCCGTCCGATCGGCGAAGGAAGGCGAAATCGGTGATTTTCCCACATGGCAGCAGGTGGCCCTGCCGTCGTGTTACCGTTTCGCGCCGCGGATTCGACGGTTTAACCTTGCATAATAGATAGCCTTCGTGAAAGTCACGTGTTCTATGGTACATCGCGTCGCGTTCGATACGCTCGATGCCCATGTCGAACTTTTCGAGGCAGCCGAGTTTCACACGATTCCAGGTAGTACTTGTACAGATATGATGGTACTTGACGCCTCTGTGCGAAACGAGACGTCCTCAGAGGCCAGGCGTCTCGACGTGACCGTGAGGCATCCCAAGCACGGAGAGTGAGGGTGGCACAGGAGCTGTGAGTGCAAAGTTGTGTGGAACTGTTGCTGGGCGAAGACAGTCCCCCTCCAATCCCAAAGGCCCAGCTTCCACAGCTCCCGGCCTCTACCTCCAGTCTAGTGGCACTAAGTGCATAAAATGACTATCAGTGGCGGGATCAGATCGGGATTTTTCTCATGGACAATTTCTCATGGACAATTCCTCATGGACGATTTCTCTCTGGTCATTGAAATTTCCATGGAATCGTCAAGAAATTTCCTTCGCGAGAAAAGCATTATATTCCCATGAAGACGCTATAGAAAATCTCATATTTCTCCATACACTCCAGTTCATAGGTTCCAAGAACTCACTTTAAAAATACAATAATGAAGAGACCGCACAGAAAATGTCAGCGTCAGTCAGTCGAAAGAGGGCTTATCATCCAAGAAAGTGAAAGGGGGGAGAAAAAAAAAATAAAAGAGGAGGGAGGTAGAGAACCAGGCGTAATTCGATAACGCTTGACAGCCTTACGTGCCACAGAGCACATTCTTAAGAGAGAGCGGGCGCGCCGAGAAGCGCCAGAAGCCGCGAGACGTTCCAGGCGGCGGAACCGGCGGACCGACCTCGACGGGCCCGTTTCGAGTGGGGCATCGAGGCATTCATCATCGAGGATCCATGTTGGAGTACTTAGAGGCGGAAAACCAACATTAATCATTCTAATGGGGATGCCTTCCCATAAAAGTACCATATCGCTCCCATTCTTCCCGTTAGATAACCACCCTCTCCAGCCTCGATAGGAAATCGACTGCGGTTTCGCGACGTCCTATCCATTTTCGGTGCAAGGAAAATACCGTCGGCCTTCTTCCGATAAGCATAACGCGATGCACGTACGGATGCAATCGTCAACCGAAACAAAAATTTTTTAAGACAATATTTCCAAACAATATTTTCCTTTCCTTTGGGTTCTCCTCGCCTCGGACGAACTCGAGTCGCTCTCGCGATTTCGCATTCTCCGAGAGCAGAGAAACGGACCGGAACCCGACGGGAAACGGAAGACCGAGAAGAAGCAGACGATGACGAGGAAAAAGCAGATGATGCCGACGAGAAAATAAAAAGAGGCCCCTCAAACACTTAGCTTCACCGAGATGAGTCCTGCCCACGTGATGGATGTATCTCGGAGAAGATGAAACGAGGACGAAAAAAAAATGGACCAAAGCAAAAAAAAAGGGACAAAAAAAGGACAAAAAAAAAAGGACAGTACCAGGAGCCCTTTTTGTCTTTCTGGATGGGATCCAGGAACGAGGGCGACTTAAATTTTCTCCAAAGCGGGTTGACGGGCAACATCTGGGGTACTTTGATGGATTGAATAATTTAAAAGGAGATGGCTTTGACCGAAAGCGCGCGAGGAGCATACACGCGGGGCCCTTTATACGGTATAAGGTGACCAACTGTGAATATTTCATCACGCTATACTGTGCATACAGAGCGACGATCAACATTGATTGGTGCGTCCTTCTGTCTCGGAGGGGAAAATTGACGTCGAGTGGCAACTCACCTCGGGTGGTATTGCCACTATTTTTTTGTTGCTTCGCGGATTTTTAGGAACGTATTTTAGGCTTTTGGGGACGAAAATGCGTTTCGATTCCGAAGGCCTGTCGTTTTCAGGGTTACGACGGCCGATTTTAGTTTCCGAAATCCGAACACGTCGGGCGACAGAAAGTGACACGATGCCACTCGGTGTAAGTTGCCACTCGACGTCAGTTTCCCCTAAACAAAAGAAGGAATACGTGAATCCGCTTCCACTCTCCCGCTCGGATACAAATCATCGTCGAAAAAATATTTTTTTAAAACAGAAATCTCGTGCGAAAACGCTGGAATCGGAAGCCCCCACCGAGAACCAAAGACCTCAATATCGAACGAGGAATAAAATTCGTAACCAGACTCACTGAAAACCCAACGACCGCAAAAAGCACTCACTTATCACAGACAAGTTGACGAACTGATGCCAGGTCTGAGCATCCTCGTAGTCCACCCGGCACCAGTAGATGTCCCGGTCACTCTCCCTCGCCCCGTTGATCGTGAGGACCCCGCCGGACGCGTTGGCCTCCATCCGGAAGTGCAGGCGGAGGTCCTCCGACCAGTGGATCCCCTGCGGCACTTCTGGGTTCCGAGCGTCGAAACTATTCGGACGAAAAAAAGATTTAATTTGTATACAGATGAGATCTCTTGCAGGCTCGTCCGGGGGACCCCAATTCCTCCGGGGAAAATGAAAGACAAACAAGGTGTCGGAAGGGCACCCTTTTGAATGGGAATGGGGCAAATAAAAAAAATAAATAAATAAAAAACTCGACTCAAATTTAGCCATAGTAAAATAAAACAAAGGCATCGCAATAATCTTACGTGAGCTTGTAGCCATGATAAAAAAAAGACACCTCGAATCACACATCAAGAAAGACGAGACGCGGAATGCGAACTCCGAGACACAAAACATCTTCATTTCATGTCTCCAAACAATCTCACAACTTCGACGGATAGGAAGCCCTAAAGCGAAGGTGGACTGCCACATTCCAACCGGATAAAATAGCAATAAATCCTTGCGATTAGAGAACGCGACAGCCCATTAATAATGGCTCACGAGAACACAATCGCGACATTCTGAAGGAGACCCTCAACCTCGATGACCACATGCACTATTTATCATCGCGTACGAGATCATTCATTTTGTGCGTGTCGCCTGGCTATTTTTAGGCATCGGAATGATGCCGTAAAATTCCTCATTCCCCTTTGGTGTGCCTCAGAAACAATGATTATTTTTTAAAGTATTTTTTTTTTTTTGGGGGGGGGGGGGGGGGGT